TCTTTCCCTTTCTCTCTCTGGTCAAACTACAATAATAATAAATAAAATAAATAATTCTTTTAAAAAAATTTCAAATCTGATTTCATAGACTGGGGACTTATACATGAACCTGTTTCTCACTCTAATATATTTCTCTATTGTCAAGTATAATTGTCTAAGCTATTGATATTTTATTACTTTATGGGCATACATTTTTAGTTTCTTATACCACGTAAAACCAGTCCCTCACTATATTGATTTCTGAGTCCCATGCTGTGTACTCGAGTCTAGGGGATGCATCTCTGTGAGGTCCAGCACTGAGGGACCCCGAGGTGAACGGTGCAAGGCTAAGGCACTCTGGTCTCTCTGGCCATCAATCAGTTTCTTCTTCCAGTACACTTGGGATTCCACTTCAGGAGCCTGCTGCCATGCACAGCATGCTCTGCTGCAGGGACACAGCAGACATGCTCTAAACGGAACTAAGGGGGACACCATTGACAACGAGGGCCAAGGAAGAAAACTTTGTTCTCTGAAGAGAGACACTTTTATTTTTTTCTAAAATGAAATCCAAGTGTGTCTCATCCCTGTGTTGAAATCAGGAATAAACTTAGTTCATATAAAAAATTTAGATGATTTTCTGTTTTGAAAATGAGTATGGCTATAGGTTGACATGATAAGAGTTTCCTTCCCCCTCAACAAAAGATTGCTTGGATTTGGGAACAGCTGAGAGTCATTTAGGCTAGAATTCCACTTTTTTCCTTTGACTATCATATAGTCTCTGAAGTTCTTTTACATATTTAAAATAAAAGTAGCAGAAATAACTCCACCTCATAAGTAGTATAATAAAAATACCTGGGATGTTGTGGTTGGGAGTTGGTCCTCAGCTTCGAATAATCAGTATTTTAGTCAGCTAAATTAAATATGTAGCCTGAAAGCAGGCTTCTTAAAACAAAAAGTTGGATAATTTGAGATAACTCAGTGAGAGCAATCTAGGGTAGTCATGGAAATGTGTCATTTAAAACGCTGCTGGTAGTGAACCAAGGCCCGTCTGTGCTCACAGCGGCCGTGGACACAAGCAGAGCTTCTCCTCCTGCCTGGTCTCCTCATGGGCAGAGGCAACTTGGTGGCGTCTCCCAATGCCACGAGCTACCTTCGCACAGGCCGGGGAGAAGGCTGGGAGCCTGTGTGAGCGTAGTCTATGGCCCTGAGCACGAGGTGTCAAGGCACCCATGCCGCTAACCTTGACGGACTGTTTTGAAGTTGAAGGTCTGGAAGCCACCTGTCAGCGCAGAAGAGTCAATGACGTCCACACCGTAGTCACTGTGGCTCCGTCTGTAAAGGGTGACGCCAATGACCAGGACAGCGACGGCTACGACGGCAGCACCCAAGCCCGAGTACAGAGCAATGTCGCTGGCACTCTCAATGCCTGAAAGACACAAGAGAGGTTCTGAGTGGCCAGCCGGGATGCGAAGCCGTAGAGCCACCCCAGGACACGGAATGAAATGCTATTGGACTTCTGGGGCGACTGTTCGGAGAAAATGAAGCATGTAGCTGGCCACGAGTGGCACCGCTGCTGTGTGATGGCCACGAGTACATCGAAGGGATGCTAGTCACATATCTTAACTGCATTAGGGTAGCTTACCGCAGCACAGGCTCTTGAAGAGAAGAGAAAGGAAATCATATTTTTCTAGTAAAATTACAGACAATTCCTTCCATTACTTATTTCAGGAATTATAGTTACCTGCGAAGTATTTATACGTATATATATATATTTCCTTATTTGAGGGTGACAGACCCACACACGATGACAACACAGGAGTGAACTGCTCTGCGTTTATATGACCGGAGGACATGCGTTTGCAGACAGTGGTCCAGAGAAGACCAGAAATCGCAAATGTGGATTTTAGCTTGGCACGGGTCATACGGATGCAGAGACCCTGACAACGTCAGTTTAGGGTTGATCCAATCATGATGGGAGAATTTCTGAGGTGGGATACGAAGGTCTGGGTCCCAGGCACTGTCACATCCACGGGGACCGTTTCTGAGCCCCAGTGCAATGCTAGGCTCCACTGCTGTCCCATGCAGGGGCTGCTCTAAGTGCACATGCTGCCCGTCCCGTACCTCTCCCACGCCATCCTAGTGAACGCATGGGCAAAGCAAAAATAACAGCGTTAGTTTGGATTTAGAATGCGGGTGTCGCCCTACCCCCCAAGGAACCTGGTAGCTGCTTTCGACTCATTTTCTAGATGTGCGTTGGGCATGGTTTACTGCTGACCCAGATCCGTGACGGCTCCTGCAACTTGGCGTGAGAGATTTACCTAAAAGAGGTGCAGGCTGGGAAAGTGCGTGGAGATTGGAGGTGGCAAGGGCTAACTGCATAGCCCATCTCCAGGCAGATTTTGCGGTAAGTACACTTAATGGGTCTGAAAGTAATTACTCTGCCACCCTGTGTGGAGCTTAGAGATAAAATAAACCTGCCGTATATTTTTACCTTGTAATGATGGGCACTTACTACGCGCTCACCGCGCCCTAATATGGTACTTACATTATCAAATGAGTAATACTGACCACACAGGTAAAGTGAATTTATTTTCAACAAAGTTAGTGGACTGTAAAATAAGGTGCTACCAAATTAGAGAGTGAACAAGGAAATCAAGCAGAACAGGCTCCGTAATCAGGCGGTAAACACATGAAAACAATTCTCTCGGGACAGCACACCATCAGAAGAGTGTCGGAAAGGTCAGAGGTTTATCAGACACATTTAATAACAAGAATGGCAGGGTGGGATGTGGACCATAGTTCCAGCTGCACAGTGGCCCAGGTGTAGAAGGGAAGGTGGCTAGTTTCTGTCACCACCCAGCATCACAGGCACAATGACGCCTCAGTGTCTGCCTGTGTGCCATCAAGGAGGAGGGAGACTGCTCTTGTCCTGCTGCATCTCTCGCCCTCCCTCTGCTCACTTAAGTTCCATGGAGGACACGGTTGCTCCCCGAGCAGAGAGAGGACACAGGACAGGACACAGAAAACAACAGCTGCATCATGCCAGGGCTCCAGGAGTAGGGAGGGGAATTGGGACTGAAGCCAATGAGCACTGTCCCTTCCCTTCCTGCAGCTCCTGGGGCACTCCTGACTGACGACACCATCATCGTAACGGTGCCTCTGGGGCACTCACACCTGCCCAGCAAATGAACACACAGAGAACCAGCCTGGAGGCGCCCTGAAGGTGGCCGCTCTGGGCTGAGTTGGCAGAGTAGAGAAAAAGAACCTGAGCCACCCAGGAACTCAAAGAGCAGAGTCAGAGGCCACAAGGATGAGCTTCAGCTGGAGGTGGACCTCACTGGCCGTGAACATCCTGAGACGAAACTGAGCAGTGGGAGCAAGCTGTCTCTAACCCCCTGGGTTCCCGTGTCCTTCAGGGGTCTACACTCTGGCTTACCCAGATAACCAGAATCCTCACTCTCCCTCCAGACAGAAAGTATGCCTTCAGGAAAAGACCTTACAGACTGAGGTACAGATGTTTCTACAGGAGTCAAAGTGTTTCTTCTCCCAGGAACATTTGCAGAATCTATTTGACTTAAGTCAACAGAATAAAATACTATATTATAGAATTTATAAACAGCACAGGGACTTGCTGAATAGGGGAGGGAAACCACGAAGAGGGCTTTCT